CTGTAGCTCTGTGGCAGTGCTTATCAGATTTTTCAGCTAAGGCAGTGGTTATCAGATTTTTTTTTCAGTGTTGAAATTCTTTGTTCACATGAAATCTACATGAAGGTCATGTAGATAACAGAGCCCACAGGAGAACTGCTCTGTGAGCCCCTGCTTCACTTATTCCTGAAGTTACCCTCCCCACCTCATGCCTTCCCAGGAACAAAAGCCAAGGCACCTCTGAGCGTGAAATCAACAATGGTTTTCCTTCTCCTTTTCAGTTTTCTTGCCTTTAGGGATTTAAGCAGAAGCAGTTCAGTTTGATGCATGTGATATGTGGGTGACAGACAAAGCTGAGTGAAAGCCTGGGTTCAACCTTTAGTCCCACCATTACTGTGCACTGGTTAGAATAAATGTATCTTGAAGGCAAAAAAGCACTGATTAAAAAGATGCCTTCCATGGGAAAACAAGAAGTCTTTTTGTCTTTCAAGGAAATAAAGGATAAATGAGAGATGATAACCTACTGTTAAGCAAAAGACTCACCCTAGGTTAGGTTTAAACTGTATGTTTCTTTGATCTTCTGTCAGAATCCAGGGTACTGCTACAGACACCTAAGCAGGTCACAATGCTAAATAAGTAGGGCCAGTCCTGTAGGCCAATGGGCTGTGCCCTGTGCCCCGTGTGGAGTCACTAACCCCTGTCTATTACCACACAATGAGAAAATATAATTGTTCCCTACCAGGTTGAGTTTGCAGTGCAACTCTAAGAGTTTGTGAATATCTTTTAGTCTAGTTTATCTGAGAAGAGATGTGATGAACAAGAGGTTAACAGCGAACAGGTGTTCGCTCCACCCTCCTGTTCTCCCCCTCTCCATCCTCTATGGGTTTCTGCAGCAGCTGCCCTGCTCCCTCATGAAGGCATACTTCTGGCCACAGATACTGCCCCACGGTGATGTCTAATCCATACTGAGCCTATAAGTATACCACCCCGGGGTTTCTGTATTTGACACAAAGAAATGAGTTTATCCTTTTTTCTTTTCTTTTCTTTTTTTTTGGGGGGGGCAACTAAAGAGGTGAGCATTAAACTTCACCTCATTCAGGCCTTCCTGGTGGCGCGAGGGGTTGAGCATCGTACTGTGAAGCATTCTGAAGCCTCTGCAGCATGAGTTCGATCCCCGGCCAGCCAGGGAGCAACCCACATGGCGCAACAGACCTCTCCTGACTTGCCTGCTGCCCCCCTCAGCAGTGTATTCAGTCAATCTGCCTGTTCTGTTCCCCATTCTGTCTTTCATGAATCCTCTTACCCCCTGCATCTCTGGCCTGTACTCCAGCTCTTGTATGCATAAACAAATAAATCTTTTTAAAAAAAAATAAAATAAAACTTTACCTCATTCTTCTGTGGATGGTTGGATAAACAATCTGGTAGATCCACATAATGAAATACTATAAAGCTATGAAAAGGAAGAAACCATTGATGCGTACATCAACTTGAGTTAATCTCAAGCTGTTTGAAGGAAGTGAGTCTCAAAAAGTTACATACTATTAAGGTACTAATTGTATAACATTCTCAAAAATACAAGCTGTGGTGATGGGAAACATAGTGTTTGCCAGGATTATGAGTAGATGGAGAGTGTGATTATAAAGTGAGAGCATGAGGCAGTTTAATGGATTCTGAAACTGTTCCAGATTCTTATTTCTGTGATGGTTTCACAAACTTATCCATGCAGTAAAATTCATAAAATTTTTAAATAGCTTTCAAAAGAAAAGGGCCCATTTTATGGTTACTTTTTTTGTATGTTACTTTTTAAAACAAAAAATTTTTAACTAACTTTTAAAAAACTTTCTCACCTGTAAGGAGAAAATAGAAATGGTTGCTCTATAATAATGACAGAAAATAGAAAGAATTTTAAACTATTCAGAGGAGAGAAGATATGAGCAAACAACCAGAGTTCTTTTGAGCTCAGTTTTTATAGAAGTTACATTTTCATTCTTGGGTTTCACAAGACAGTCTTAGACTCTTATAATGCATCCCCTTTTTGTGTTTGGTTCAGCTAGGCTGTTTCATTAACAATTCACAAACCTAACTAATGGCTGGTTCAATTTTGCATTAATTGTTCTGCAGCTGGAAGGTAACTCTCCTCACTACCACCATAAGATGAAGGGAGAGGTACTTTGCAGATAGTACCACCTCAGCATTTATAGGTTTCACCTCATGGATAATAAAGCCCACATTCCAAATTCCTGACCCAATAAGGCCTAACTCTTGCCAAAAACTCTTTCTCCCTAAGGTTGCCACATCATGCTGTGAATGCTCATTAAATCTAAGAAAAATTTTAGTGGCATTTATTGTTAGACAGACTTTAGTTGACTTTATGGGGGTAGTTTCCACAAAGCATGCCAGGAAAAGTCCCAAGTTACTAGCTTGCTGGTGGTTTCCTTCCAAGGTCAGGGGCATTAAATATACATCCAGACCAGATGTCCTTCTTCTCTACTCCCCAAAAGTGACAAATATCTGGGGTCTCCAACTAGATTATTTTATTTTTCATGGAAGTCTGTTCTGTCTCACCTCTGATTCCACAAGAGTCAGATCTTTATTCAAGGTTTTTATTCAAGACTACAATTCTCCTCTTTTCTACAGGGGATAAAAGAGGAAACCAGGGCATTCATACGACAACCATTTATAAATTTTTTGCCTTCAGCATGGTCAGCAGGTTTCTAAGAAATCAAGATGAGTGAAATGATGGCCAGGGAGGGAGAGCTAAATGAGGAAGCAGATTTTCCAATAAATATCTGCATACGGGGAGTGGACTAATATTCCAATATGATCCCCAGGAAAGGGTGAGGACTAGAGGCAGCAGAGTGCAACTCTTGGGCAACAGTGACACATGGGTTTTGAAAGATGAGAAGGGGTTTGCTATGCTTCCCAGTGAGGAAGGCTGTGCAGACTGACAACACACACAATCTAAAGGGCTGTGAGCCATGCAGTAAATTGGGGAGACTCAATGGAGTCTGCTACATGAAAAGACCAGCAGGAGAAAGTAAAAATCTGGTTCATCCTGAAGGGGATGAGTGACTGGGTAGACTTTTAAGCAAACAAATGACATACATAGGTTTGCATTTTAGAAACTTCATTTTTATGGTAATGTGGAGAACTGATGAAAGACAGACTGAGTCAGATGGCAGGAAGGTAAATTAGGAGCTCAAGACTGTAATCCTGATGAAAGAATCCAGTGACCATAAGGGAATAGTTGAGAGGATAAATTTAGAAGAGAGAATGAAGAGCTCATGGTGATGATTAGGGTGTGGGACTGGAAAAAAAAAAGACATGCAGGAAGCCACTCATATGTGTGATTTTGGTTCACAGGTGGAGGGGAGGGGGAGATGGTGTCAATAAATAAGAGGAAACAAAGAGAAAGAGCTAAGTGGGGAAAGGTCAGGTAGGGATGAGAAATAATTGAATTCAAGAGAGAGGTGCTTCTTTCCTCTTTCAAGGCAAAATGAATCAGCAGGGAGGCCTGTTGTTGAAACAGGAATTTTATTTTGTCAACCTAACAATGCTTCATACATATTGTTTTATCTCTTGTAATTCATGTAGTAGAAGCAAAGAAGGGGGAGCTCACATAGACAGGATGAGGAGCCTGGGGAATCTCCAGCAGACTGGGAAATAAGGCTTTCTCATCTGACTCCCTCAGGGGCAGCCAGTGAGATAGAGGGGCCCCCTGAGGATAAGCAGCTCGCAAAGTTGAAGGCAAACTGCTGAAATGGGCTGATGATGATGCCAAGCTCAAAGGGGTGGTTTTCAAATTCATTCCTCTAATCATCTGTGGATAAGGTCAGGCTTGGGAAGTAAAAACCTTTCAGTGGGAAAGATGAAGATCCTGTTGATAATAAAATTTGCTCTTGGTAATCAAGACTTGGTATAACATTAAGATTATAGTGTTATTATGGAATAACATCCTTTAATCAAAAAATAAGAGATAGGCTTGTGTGTGCCTTATTGTCTCTTGTAAAAAAGCAGAAAGACAAGAGTAGCAATTCTGATAGAAAGGTGAGCATTTTATTTTAAAGGCTGATCTTGCAAAACAATTTCATAAGCAGATAAACCAGTATTCCTCATTCTCTTTGTAAAACACTCTGACCCATACTGAGACATTTTACAGTTACTCTGTAAAATGTCCTCATCTATTGAGTTGTGTACCTATCTAAAGTACTATTCATCTAACTCATGACCTTTAATGCATAATTGTTAAATATTATATAATCTGATAAAATGTGATTGGAAAAAAGAAAAAGTACAATGCTTCAGAAAGATTCAAAAAGACAAACTGCTAAAAAAAAAAAAAAGAATTAGGTTAGTTAAGACAACTAACAAAAGGAAAATGAACATCTAGCAAAAATATATAAATTTTTCTTTTAAGTGTCTTTTGTTCTCATTCCACTTTATAGAAACTGGAACTGGCTATTGCAGTGAGTTGAACTCTAACCACAGAAGCTAAGATTTTTAAAAGCTATAATTTTATATCAAAGACTGTCATATTAAAATATTTAAGCTCACTTAAAATGTTCAATCATTTTACGATTTACATTTTTTGTCCTATACCTTAACCAACATTTTGATTACCTGTCCATCTGCTGGTCTCCATGACAACTGAAGAGAGTGCATCCATTCAAATACTTTCCCTCATATAGCCTTGGTTATTATCAAAATACTGATTTCAGTATAGTAAGTGTACAAATCTCCTGTTTATCTGACTGTTTATTGGCCACTTCTCTTTGGATATACAAAAAAATAAACTCGTCATCCAAAACCATATTCACCTCCTCGCCCCCCCCCCATGTCTGTTTCTCCTTTTGCTTATAATCTCTCAGTGAGCCCAGCACAACCCACAAGTAGACTTCACCCCTGATTGCTTCTTAGCACACCACCACTAATCAGTCGCTGAAGCCTGTGTGTATGTAGGAGAGAGAGGGGACTCTCCTCTCAAGAACCCTTCTCATCTGTGTGGTTTTCTTCTCCTGCAGGCCGCTGTTGACTCTCTCCTGGATTACTGTCAGGAACTCCTAATTGATCCCTCTGCTTCAAGTCTGTTCCAATTCAATCACTCTCCTCCCCAGAAAGTGACCTTCCAAAATGTAAGTGTGCTCAAGTGAATCCCTGGATGAGTTTCTTGATTAAAAATCTATACTTTCCCTTTGTTCGTATAATTAAGTCCAAACTCCTTAACATGATTACAAGGTTCCACAGGGTCTAGCCTCTAATTACGGCTCCTGTCTCAGATAGCACATTTCCCTTGCACATGCTAAACTGCAGCCAGAATAAATCTCCTTCCCTTCTACAGACACACGAGGCTTGCAATCACCTTTAAGAAAACTCGTGTTTCTTCTTCGTACATCCTCCTGCCTGCCCCACCCTATTTCCCACTACTGTCATGTTCTGGATGACTTCCACTCAGGGCTGTAATTCTTAGTACAGGCGTTGCTTTTACAAAACACCTCCATCCCTCTCTCCCATCCCTCTCTCCGAACAGTTCCCCAAATACCTTCCCTTCTGTGGCACTTCTCACTCTGTATCGTGATTGTCTGCTTGTAAGGGCCAGCATGATGTCTGGCTCACTGCCATCCTCCAAGCCACTGATGAAGTATGTTTTCTCAACAGTGGAGTGCTGAATGAGTGATTAAAGGACCATGTCCCTCAACTAGCCCTGGTCTAACAATGGGTCCTTTTTTTCGGGAACAATCTCCCTCAGCTTTCTGGAAACTTTACCCTCTTTACTGCTCTTAGAACTGAGTACGCTGGTGCTTAATATTCTAGAATGAAGATTCTAGTCCCAAGGGCTTGCAAGGGTACATATCCTGAAATTTCTCCTCACAACCTACTCTTCCTCCCTCACAGAAAGAATAGGCTTCTGCTCCTTCTTTTGGCATATAGTTGAGTCAGTCGGGAACTGAAAACAAGGTTTCATCTCATAGCCCTATGATAAAGCCTCTGTCATCAATACCGGAGGGAGCAGGAGCTCATCTAACCCAAGGGATTGCATTTTCTGTGAGAAGAAGTGAAACATTCTTGTGTTGATTCAGTTATTTGGTGTGAATGGAAACCTACTGTGTCCATGGCCACTGACCCACAGTCAGACAAAAATGAGGTCTGTCATAAGCACTCAAATGCTTCTATGGGTTAGGTTAGGCATACTGAAGAGAAGCTGAACAATTTTCTGTCAGGCTAGGAGTTCAACCATTATCACCCTGAAAATGTTGGTATAAAGAGAACTAATCAGCTAGTGATGAATCTCGGGACAAAATAACAAAGATGCATTAGTTTTCACTGACCAAAGTCTAACCCAGGCCCTCGTCCTGTCTCTGTTCCACCAGCATACTAACTTGTCTCACAGCCATAGCCTTAGCTAATTTTTTTAAAATTAATTATCAAAGTTTTTTAAATACATATTAAGAACAAATTATCATTTACACATCACAACCATTAGCTGGTAAAATTGTGACTGTCTCCTTTTAATGGGTCCATTCCTCCTCTATGCCCTTACAGATATTTCAGTCACTCTCAGATCTGCCTGTCCCCTGTTGGCTTTAAAATTGCGACCCTTTGTCTCATAATTCAGTGTAAAATGAGCATAAAAGACCTAATCAGCCTGTACCCTGCTCACTGCTCCAGCATCATTTCTTCTGCATCCGAGTGTTCTAGTTACTCTGGTTAATGGAAAACAGTCACAGTATACCCTGCTTGTTCCTGTCTGTCAACCCATGAACATTCTGTTGCATCTACCCGACAGCAACTGTTTATAAAGAAGAAAGAGATGAGTTATGGAAGGAGGAAGAAATCACGAAAAACAGTTATAGAAAGCTGCAGAATTTTCCCCCCAAAATGCATTAGAATCACTCCTTGCTTCAGGAAACCACCTAGTAGCCATTGGTGCTGAATCCATGCATAGCCTGAATCCGCAACTGAACTGACTTTAGAATCAAATTCCATTATAGACCTAGTTAAGGACAATTTGGCCTTGCCTGATAGCTCTCCAGCAGCATATTTTTCACAATGAAAAATGTGAAAACAGTCAGGCATTGTTTTGATCATTACCACGGAGGGTCAGGACCATGCTTGTCCAGATGCTTTGGACACACAATAAGGCAAACAAAGATGGGGCGGAGTCTTAGTGACGGCTCATCCTAGGCAAGATTGACCAGCTTGTAAGAGTTTTTTTTAACTAGATGTAAATCATTTGTTTTTCAATATATAATGTAAAAATTCATATTCTGCATCCTAAGGGTGGGTAGCAATTGTGTGTCTGCCCAGTAGAGGGAGGTCTTTCACTGTTTACAGAGATAATATTCTTTACATAGTAATGCTAGATTTGCAGGGGGGGAAAGAATAAGAACTTGAAAATGGCATGATATAAAATCATGAAACTAGGGTTTGTTGGTGGTTTGATATATAGATATGTAGATAAAGATAAAACAGAAGGGGGGAGCAGAGTGACACAGCAATTAAGTTCCTAAAGATCTTTACACAGTTCTCTTCAGTCCAGACAGCCTGGGTGGCAGAAAGAAATTAACATGTAAGCCCAGCCTGAGGGCAGAATGGTTAGTGAAGGACCAGCGTCTCCAAAGGAAGAAATTGAAGCTAGTGAGATGCAGAGGATTTCTGTACTCAGGGATGGTGGTCAGTCACATTATTTTGTTATAACAGGTATCCCATGGATAAATCTCTTGAGTAACAATGTCTTGATTAGAATCCAGGATTCTAAACTTACACAGAACAGCACAATCTTATGAATAAGGGGCCCAGGCAAAAGCAGCTCTTTTCTACCTAATCATAGAACTCCTTTTGCACGGGTTCCTGAGAATGACGCTAACTTCGTGGAGTCCTAAGCCAAGGTTTCTAATATAAACAGGTCTAGTGGTTTTCCTAAACCTTTTCCTCAAAGGGTTTGACCCTCCTTTCACCCTTGCTTCTCTGATGGTGAATAAAGGTGAGACAAAGATAGGCCCAAAGAAAAAGCACACCCACAAGAACAAGAAGAATATTTGTTTAAATCACTAGGTACTACAGACACAGTGCTTAGAGGCCAATGGGCTTTTCAACGGGCTTGTTCTCAAAAGTACTTGCGAACCAACTCATTTGTATAGACTCTGAATATGTAAAGAAAACTGGAGAATAACATAGCAATACTGGCAAACACCTATATAATACAGTAAGACCTCACTTAACATGACAATAGGTTCTTGGAAACTGCAACCTTAAGCAAAAGGATGTATGAGGAAAGCAGCCTACAAATAAACAACAGTTTCTTTCAATCACAGCCAGAATTGTTTTTTCCTCATCAGCGTTATAAGGAAATGACATTGAACAAAAGGAGGTTATTCAAGGACCTGCTGGACTAGCTATGCCCCAGTCTCTGTTCTGAGAACCTCTCTCCTCCTGCAACATTAGCTCCTCAACATCCTGCTGGTTCTGTTATTTCCATCTCCATTCTATGTTTGGGGAAATTAAGGCACATTCTGGTCAGTGGCTCTGCCAGTAAGTGGTAGGGCCAGCATTTGAACCCAAGACTCTGGTTCCTGATTCCTTGACTCTGGGTCTTTAAGACAGGGCACCGCTCTAGTGCTTCTTTAATTTGAATATCTACAAATGTAATGTTCTATCAAGTCTAAAATTGCATTCTAACTCAACACTTAGAGTTGCGTAAAGATAACATTTATCGAGGGATGTCTTATATTTTAGTTAAGTTTGATGTGGTAAAGTGAGAGGGGCTGGGGCCTGCAAACATCTTAGTGGCTCTGACCCCAGGCCCTCAGAGCCCTCAAGCATTGGGGAACTTAGGAAAGTGTCAGAGAGAGAGTTGCAGGGAAGAACTCATTGCTGACTCTGAGCCTCTGCAAAGGTTCCCTCTTGCTCCATGGTCCAATAATATCCTGGTTGATCACCCTAGATGGTTGGTAAACTCTTTCTGCAAAGGGCTAGAAGTAAATATTTCAGTTATTCACTTTGTTCTGTTCCAATTCCTCAACTCTGCTATTGTAGTGCAAACAGCAACACCAGATAATACATCAACAAATGGGCTTGACCATATGTTTATAAAACCTTATCTATGGACAGTCATTTTCATCTGTTACAAAATATATTGTTCTTTTCATTTGTTTCAACCATTTAAAGTTATGAAAAGCTCACAGGCCCTACAAAGACAGGCAGATAGGATTGGACCCTGGTACCATGGATGTCTACTTCTGTCTTACTTGGAAATCATCAGGACAACTGAGGTGGTAGGTGAAGAAGGGAGACGCTTAATTGCCACCTAGATACCAGAAAAATCTAATGCTGTTCCTAGGATAATGAACCATTTTGGTAAGCCAACCTAACTAGCACTATGCTTCTCAAACCTGGAAGTACAGCAGAATTATCTAGGGTACTTGTTTAAAGAAAAACAAACTTTTAGGCTCCATCTCTGGAAATTGTGACTCAATCATATGGAGGGGCCAAGAAGCTGCTACTTTAAAAACAACCCATTGATCTTCACAGGAACATCGTCCAATGAAATTTGCACTCCTGGGGAATGTAAGTCAGATGTGGGAAGAAAATAATAGAGTTGTTTCCTGTATTATTTTAATATATAAAATTAAGAAGAAAATGAAGTTTTATAAATATCTACCACATGTATTGATGTTAATTCCCTAGTCTGGGTGTCAGTAGTCATGTGTCATCAACATACATGAAATTGACTAGAATTCCATGTGAAATTTCATGCTAGAAAAAGAAGAAATTCAACAATATAGAGGATCTTTCAGAGACAACTTCACTCATTTGGTTAGTCTGAGCGTGTTGCCAAAAAAAAAAAAGAGGCCCAGGCCAAGAAGAACAGAGACAATTTTGAATAAGAAAAAATGAAGGATATTAAAAAAATCTATGAGATCTCAGAACTGATTATAAAAGTATGTTAATTTAGAATGTGATAATGCAGGGAGAGACAGATTGATGGAACAAAATGAGAGTATAAGGCATTCCCCTTACATGACACAGATGGCCCTGCAGAGCAGGGGAGAGAGATCGGACTCTTTAGTAAATGACACTAGGACAATTGGTTATCCCTATGGGGGAAATGAAGTTAGATCCCTAAATAACTTCA